GGATGCTCGTCAGTTTCCGTTTGGGGAGATTGAAGCGGAGGAAAACCGAGGAAAACGGGATTATGGCAGAATCTTCAAAATTTACTGTCCTCCCATCTTTGAAATGAAACGTTTAGATGTAATTTTATATATAGTTATGTTTATTTAATATAATTTTAAAAAGAAGCATAAACACAACGATGGGTGTCTGTTTTGTCTGTTTTTGTGACTAACGTTTCTTTAGTATAACCATGGAGTATAAAATTCAATATAAATTCTCGGTATTGCATTGGACTCTACGATCGGCGGAAGTTATCGAGCATCCTTACACCTTCACCGGAAATACCGCCGTGCATAGACCCCATAATGTCAGTGGTTTCTTAAACTGCAACCAAAAAGACTAACAAGACACACACACAGCTTTTCCAAGGTTGGATTTGGCCAGGCTCTAACTATAAACAGGAGAGTCCTCTCAAAACGATAATGCGTTCTTTCTCTCAGGGAGAAGACACTTTAAAGTAAAGCTACAAAATGGTCTTTCAAACTATTGGTTCCAATGACCTAATTATCAGGGTACCCTAGAAAAGCAGATGGATGTATTGACACATGCTGAAGTTGTTGTTGGGCAAATTGTTTGCTGTTGGGTGAATACAAAGGCAAATACTATGACATTGAATGCCAGATTTTGGAGGATGATATACGTAGCCCCTATTGAGACTAAAAACATGTAGATGGGACTCATTAAATGTGTTCATCACAACATAATGATATTATAGTCCGATATACAGATGTTTTCACAGGACTAGGCCGTATTGAAGGGGAGCAACACAACAAACTCAAACCAGATGCTCAGCCTGCCATACATTCACCTAGACGAGTTTCGGTGGCCCTAGTAATGGATGAGCTCAAACGGATGGGAAATTGTGATGTCATTGAAAGGGTTGTGGACCCCAGAGCTTGGGAACAGTATATTGAAATTAGAATTTAGATTTTTTCAATGTACTGTAAGGGAATACTAATATGTTTTGTTTTAAAAGCTATTACAATTATGGAAATATATATGCATATATATATGTATATGCAAATATATACATATTTTTGGTGAGTTAAATTTCTCATAATATTATAAGTTCAGAATTTAATTGTTTTTTTATTTTAAATTACATTATAAAAATTGTATTACAATAATAATGTAATATTTATTACATTATATTATTACATTATGAGTCGCTACAGGCGACGTCAGCATACTGGGTTCGGTTTCAGAGTGCTTCTGATTACTTTCAATTTCCTTTGCCTTGTCTTATTCAGGGTTGATAATTCAGGAAGAGTTTAAAACAGTAGGACCCTACATGTCAAAATGAAGAGATCTCATTTAAAAAGCAGGTTCTCGCCTTTTCTGTGTTTACATTTGGGATTTTCACATGTCATCATTTCCTATGGCAGCACAACCCTGCACTTGAGATAACAATCAGGAGCACATGGGAAAGTTGAGATGTGTGTGGTGTCCATCAATGTGAGTTCCCATGCAGCCTGTCTGACGTCTGATTGCCCTCATTTTGCCATCAGAAGAACATTGTGAACTAGAATTACATGTGAAATCACAGATATACAAATATGCTTCAGCAAACAAAAGTGTTATTCTGAGGAAAATATTCTACCCCACCTAGGTCTGTCAAAACCTATCATTGCAGAACAACAGAGCTTCAATATTCAGAGATGGCAAAGCAAAAGGAAATTTTTCTTAATATTTTGTGCTAGTTTAACTAAACTGCAAGAAGGTTTGCTCTGGTCTGCCATCTGTTGGTGCAAATTGTATGATGCAAGGTTACCTAGTCATTTTGGACAGTGGTTCCAACTTTGGGGGAAAGAGGAAGGCCCTTTTCTGTTGCAGCAAGGTCAAAAGAAAAATACCCATGGTTGAATGAGTTTGGTGCGGGAGAACCACATTAAACACCTTTGGGATGAACTGGAATGGAGATTGTGAGACAGGCCTTCTCATCCGCCGTCAATGTCTGATGACATCACTGTCCCTGTTGGTGTACTGTCAGGTGTCCTAATACTTGTGTCCAAATATTGTGTAGTGTGTCCAACTCTACGTCATTCACGCTTCTTCATAGGAGAGGGTGTTCTCTGGGCAGCTCTTTTGGCGTGGTTTGTTCACTGTGGCTCTCGGACTGGTGACATTTTCTTTACTGCATCATGGGTAATGTAATTTTTCACCAGGCATTCCACTGTTAAACTTTATTGTCACTCCGCTATATGTGAAGACACAAGAAATGAAATTTGATGTCTCACACAAGACCACTGTGCTACGTATGTAAAAATCTATGAACGTAAACAGGTTTATTTTAAAGGGACACTCCACCCATTTGCATTAAGCTTTCCATTGTTAGAAACCCAGTCATACAATTGAATGGTCGTGCAACACTCTCTCATTTTCCCCTGAGAGGAGAGAAATCGGCTATTTACTTTTTTCCACTTCCTCCTACAATGACGCAAAAATCGTCATTTTACATCATTGTAGGAGGAAGTGTAAGAGCGGGGGATTTCTGAAAAGACTAAGCACTAGATCCCACCCTTTCAACAAAACAAAACAACAAAACAAAACAAAACCCTTGTAACAAAAGCCGTGTTTCCACCACAGGAACTTTCCCCAGGAACTAGGAACTTTGGGGTGGTACTCTGTGTGTTTACACCGCAGGAACCAGGGTCTAAATTTCCAGAATGTCCCTTCTGGCGAGGTAGTACTTTTCCAGAGTTTGGGAACTTTCGGTTATGGGACTGAACATGCTGATTGGTTCTTATCACTTGTTTTTTCTGTTTTTTTCCAATGGCGCGCATTCGTCCCGGTCAATGTCCGCTGATAACAAACGTCTACTTTTATATCTAGCATTACAACCTTTCTGAATACGCCTTGGGTGCTCGTCTCTTTTCTGCCGTTTTGTTAATTACCTCATTAGTAAACCAATCGTACACAAAAGCAGCACAGCTTGAATCTCCTCCATACAAAACTCAAAACAAACGCACAGACTGGGAAAGGTTAGTCCACAGTGTAAAACGCAGTCTGGGAAAAAAAGTTACTATGAAAAAAGTTCCTGGGACAAATAGTTCCTGTTAACTGCGGTGGAAACGCGGCTAAAGAGGTGGCAACCGGCAAACGTTAAACTTAATTTTAATTGCAAAAATAAACAAAGATCAAAACGAAAGTGGTAGCCCCTCACAGATAGCCACCCCATATAAACATATGAAAATATTAGAAACATAAATGTCTCAGGCCTGGTCCTCCTCTGTTATCACTAGGGATGCACCGAAATTTCGGCCACTAAAAGTTATCGGCTGAAAATGGCATTTTTGGTTTTTGTCCGAAAGAGGAAATAGGCCGCCCTGGTGCATCCCAAGTCATCACTCCTTTTATCCTTCCGAAGCTCCTCTGTGGGACTCGAGACTAGTGTGGCGCACAGCTGGCACTCATTAACCCTCGCACCACCGGCTCGTTCCGTTCCCACAGCTCTCTGCCCTGCCCCGCTGCTGTTATTTTATTCTTTTCCTGAGGCTCCAGATTGATTCATCTAAGACCCACAACATCTAAGGGAACCTCAGTTATGCCGAGCTCGGAAAGCACGATTTTCATAGTATACGTGTCGCTGTTCTTTTCACACTGCACATCTTGGCCAGCATTCAGTCGCTGCTGTGTTCACACTGCACAATGGATCGGCGACGGAAGATTTCACACTGCATGACATTACAATTGGAAGAATCGCAGACAACTCTGTCTAGCGCGCTTCGCCCAAACTATGTACGTTTCACAACAAGCACACGCGAGATGTGACAAGGAAACGACGCGACATCACACGTGCAAGACCGGTGTTCTCTCGTGAGACTTTTTCTTTTTCGACCCGATTGTGGTACAGCTTAGATGAAACGTCAAACAGGCACGGTTGCTCCTGCCAAATTTCTACGAATTTTTCTTCCATTTCTTGGGTCCAAATAGACTGAGAAGAAGTTTTTTTCTGAAACAATGTCATGCTTGTTGACATGTGATCTGTATCTCCTCCCTGAACTCTCTGTTTGCTGAAGCATATTTGTATATCTGTGATTTCACATGTAATTCTAGTTCACAATGTTCTTCTGATGGCAAAATGAGGGCAATCAGACGTCAGACAGGCTGCATGGGAACTCACATTGATGGACACCACACACATCTCAACTCTCTGTATCTTGCTCTCTCATTGGCTGTTGGTAAGCGTCGATGTAGTTTTCAGTCAGAACACTTTTCACAGAGCAGATCGCGTCTTTGCGCATTCACATTGCACGATTGTCACAGATTTGCCTGTAATTTCAGGCATTTGTCTGCGATTTCTCAAAACCTGTCGGCAAGCCAAAATCGTGCAGTCTGAACTCGCCATTACTCTCATTAAATCGTTTGTGACTCTATTTCAGCTGCACCCCCTTCTACTTCACTTTCTCCTGGTCAATAATAACAGATATATGCCAATAGGAAAATACCGTTACTGAGGTGTGGGGGCGATGACGGTCTTAGAACTAATTTGGCAGGCACACATTGATGACAGACTGTCTGTGTGTGACTAGGCTTGAATTTCAGGCCTGTTTTGTGACTGTAAAGCAATACTCCCTCCTCCCATTCTACTTTCTTGCACCCTAAACGTGTCTGATGTATTTAATTTCATGTTTTTCCACAAAACTAAACCCAAATCTTTTCATAGGCTACTGTATCTACGGAATAGTCCTTTGCTCTTTTGATAATTGATTAACTTGTTCATTAGCATATTCAAGACATAATGTGAAACATTAAGTGCCTATTAGGTAAATTAGTAAGAGAAAATAACAATATAATACAAAGAAGAAGATAAGAAACATAGAAGTGCAGCTCTGGGATAATTAATAAAATACCTGCTCAACAACATACCACTCCCCTCCCACAATCACCGGTGGTTTTTCTTTTTTCAGAAGGGTGAACGTGCAACTGTGTGTGTGTGTGAAGGCATAGGTTCACAGCGTCAGGCGGTACTTAAATATTAAAGGCTCTAGGGAAGCACTCCATTGTTTGCCCTCCATTTCAGAGAGGCAGTTGTTGTTGGTTGGTTGAGAGAGAGAGAGAGAGAGAGAGAGAGCAACGACAACAAAGACAGTGCCAGTGCTGCTGGGAACTTCAGGGAAAGCAAGAGAAGGTGCACTCAAGTGTTAAACTACCTGACAAAGGATGTGAAGCATGAAGAAACCAAGACAGAGTCGACTGTAAAATGTTAACAGAAGTTGGACTTTTTCGTACAATAAACATGGATGGAACTGCGAACGGTACAGAAGAACCTCAGGAGACCAACGACGTACAGAATAGACCAGAGAAAGAAGAGGACAGGTAGAACTTCCACATGGAAATTTTCAACGGAAATTGCTTTTGAGTTAAAATATATTTGAATTTATGCTTAAAATAAAATAAAAAAATGTCTTCACAAAAATGTCATTTCTTTTTCAAAGTATGCATGTTTCTTTAATTAAACTTAAAATTAACTTAATACAATTTAATTATATATATATATATAATTATAATTAATATATATATTAATTATATATATATATAATTAAATTGTATTAAGTTAATACAATATATATATATAATATAATATTTATATTTATATATATATATATATATATAATACATGAAATTAGGATTTCCGATAAACAAAAGGTTCATGCTCTGAATCTAAACAATAGAATCATTTTGACAAGTCATGCAAAAAAAGCTTTTTTTTCATTAAATATTTCTCATAAGGTAATGAGCGTGTTGTATGATCATGGTTATGTTTTGTATTTGTTGGGACAGATGGTCGGGAATAAAGGATCATTTGTAAGAGGATAAAAGCATACAATATACAGTTATTTTACCATAACCTAATGTGTATACAAATTTCATTGCTGCCAGCCATTAATAGTAAACAGATACATGCAGCTCAGCTTACACACTCCTTACCTGCTGACATTGTGTATCGGAAAGAGTTAAATATTGTGGGGAGGAAATTTATGTGGCATTTTTGCAATTATTTTGAATCATCTAGTGTCAATTTAGTAGCCTATATATATATAAATATATGTTTCTTTCATATTTTGGGGAACATTATTTAAGTTGAGTTAAATTAAATACAAGTACAACCATTACAAAGTCAGCACTAAATATCTGAGGCAAACACAGAGATGTTTGTTTCATATTGAGCTCATTCTGTAGGATCTCGGATAAGGATGGGCCTGTGTCCGAGGCTCCTGTCGAGGGTGATGTGGAGACTGTGGCACAGAACTCCAGAGACAGCCGTAAACTGGACTGCATCATTTGCTACAGTGCGTATAACCTGGGAGAGAGACTCCCTCGGAAACTCTACTGCGGTCACACGTTCTGCCAGGCCTGTCTGAAGCGGCTGCCCACCCTCCTCAATGAGCAGGTAGGACTTGAATATGCTTCATTGCGATTTGATTCTAGTTGCCAGATAACATTCATAACAGAAGTGATTATCTGGGTAAAATGTCAATGTTTTTTTTTTTTCTTTCACACATTTTCAGCTTAAAGGTAAAGGCTAAATGCAATATTAAAATACTTTTTCCTATCACAAATGAATGTATTGTGCAGACACCTATAAACAGTGTTGGGGGAACACTTAATGTACACTTAAAAAAACACTTAACACATGAGTTATGTAATCAGAATACTTTTTTCAAGTAACTAGTTACACATTACTTTTTAGTTACTTTTTCAAACAAGTAAGGCGAGTTACTTTATTTTCCCATTTATGTTGGGAGTAAATGTGCAAACGCGTTGTGTGCGATGTCTGTGTCGACGTGGTGGTTATTGTAGTTTTAAAGAATGCATTTACTCATACCACAAAAATAGATTAAGTATTCCTCAAAATATATGGATACAGAATATTATGGAAACTTAATAGCACAAATCTACTTTATGTATTTAATCTCACTTTATTAACTAAATGTCTTTGCTTGTCATTACCGTAGTCATGAGATGGCAACATGTGACCTTTTATGTTCAGACTGGGAATTCTGCGTTTTTGTGGCAATACTATCAAAACTTAAATAAATCTGTAGCAGTCAGGTGGTACAGCGGTCACATGGTAAAAGTTGCTCTCAGAAAATTCTTATATTATGAGCTCTACCAGGACATGTGTGCTTTTTATAAATTGAAATCTTGTCATTATGGTAATTACAACATGGCACCTCTTGTTTCAACGTTGTGTAGACAATCAGCACTGTGACTGACACGACCAATGCAATCTGGGTTTGCGCTTCACAGACTTTGGGTGTGGTCGACTTGAAGTGGCGCTGTGCGAACTGATCAGTTTGTGACATCAAAGTACCGCTAGAGCGATTTGAGAGCAGACAGCTCCATATGCTTTCTTTCGAATGGATCACACACTGATCGGTTTTTGCAGTGCCACTCAAGTCAAACACCATTTGGAAGCTTTATGTGCTGCCACATGGTGCTCACAGCAAAACCAAATGACATTAAGTTCTTCTCTTGACGTCATGGGTGGAGCTTGAACTAGTCCAAATTCTCTGTGAATCTAATGGGTGGAGGAATATGGTTATGGATAGGGTGTGGTTGGACCTTCTAGCTCCACCCATTATGCATATTACATCCAGAAATTCCACTTGAGCTTGTGCCCTCCAAAAAAATAAAATAACTTGAGGTGAAACATCTTTTACTCTATTAGGCGAGACAATAGATGCAAAACCCACTATTTCTTTTCAGGAAGGGGGTCTATTTTAATACATTTAAGTGTTTATTAGACTATCTATTTGACTCTATAGAATCAATAACAATATATATCTTTTCAGGCTATTCTCTCAAAAATGAGTTTTTCCCTCATGCGCAAAAATCTCCACTTCAGTCGCAAATACATCACACAGTTTCTATATTCTGAAATGTTTTTATATAGGTGTTTATTAATATTGCATTGACATGCTACATTATTTGTAAGCAGCAAACTAGCGTGAACAATTTTAATATTGACACTTGTAACAAACTACTTGTGAATCTGATCTCATGAAGTAGCGTGTATATGACACGCCAATTCGTATTTCCATTTTTGGCGTGCTATCAAGACGCATAATCGCTTTTCAGCGTGTTTATGAACGCCGTTGACTTAACGTTATTACTGTATATATAAATACCTCAACCCCGTCCCTAAGCTAACCGTCACTGGGGTTAATGGCATTTATGACTGTTCCCTTACCATCCTAGGAAAAAAAAAAAAAAAGATATGACTTATCAACCCCGTTCCTAACCCAGATAGCAAACTGACATTGAATCAACGTGGAAATATGACATCGAAACAACGTTGATCTGACATTGTTTTGCTCATCGAATTAACGTTGAACCAACGTCAGATGCGTCATTCTTTCAAAACTAACGGAAAATCAACTTGAAATCAACGCGTTGTTTCAACGTTATGTAAGCAAACCAATTTTCGATTTCATTTAGCTTTGAAGAATGCCGCGTCTGACGTTGGTTCAACGTTAATTCAATGAGCAAATCAACGTTGTTTCAATGTCATGAGAGACGTCGTTTCCACGTTGATTCAATGTCAGTTTGCTGTCTGGGAAACCTAACCGTCACTGGGGTTAATGGCATTTATGACTGTTCCCTTACCATCCTAGGAAAAAAAAGATCGCTCCCCATTTGCTTCGTTTCGCGCGGACTTTTGACGGCGTGTACAGACACGCGGAAACGCGGATAACAAATGCGTAGAGATAAGTAGCACGCCACTTGACTCTAAAGTGGCGTGTATGTTTACGCAAAAGTCATGATGTCATGTTGCGTGAATAAAGCTCACACATTGACAAAGTAATTTTAACGTTTCCCAATGTGTCGACGTACTGATTTACACCTCACCCGTGTGTTTTTGTGTCTCTTCCTCGTAGATGTGGATCCCCTGTCCACAGTGCAGACAGAACACTCCTGTACCTCGTGGGGGCGCTACTGGATTAGACCTAGACCTGGCAGCGTTTCTGGGTGTTAAAGCTGAAGTGGAAAACCAGCGAACGTACAGCCAGAAAGCTCCGCTGGAGACCAAAACCTCCTTTGTAAAGCAGCCAATCACAGATCAACCCCCTTCAGCCTGGGCCAATATCGCCCTGACGGACCATGGTTTCCGCAGAGGCCCTTGCTGTAGGCACTGCCTGCTCTGCTGCTGGTGGTGCTAGATTCATTTTCACACTCATATCCATCTCTTTCTGCTTAATGGATGGTGCATAGACTGAACTCCATGACTGTGAGATTACAGAATGTCTTGAGCAGAATTATTATGATGGGTTTTTTTTTTTAAATATACAATGGATATCCAAATGGAGCAGAACTTAAAGATTATTTTACAAGATTGCCATGGAAAATAAAATGCAATTTATTTGGGCACCAAAACTCAGCTTGGACATGTGTTCAAAATGGAACAGGATGTTGGACATACTTTTAATATGATAAAGATGGAAGAATGGACAGACTGGATTTCAGATCTTAGACAATCCAATAGAATAACAGATGATTGTTACAACACAACTCAAACTATGGGAAACATTTGTTTGTATTCATGATTTGATTGAACCAAACTGTCAATCAGCTTCCAGTTTAAATATGTCCTGTGTTGTTTCCTAGCTCTTTCAAAAATAAACTTAAAAAAATTAAAAGACAGTTTAACTAAAATGTAAAATGAAAATATATCAAGAGCAAGAGAATCTCATTCTGCCATCCAGAGTTTGAAGGTTCGGTCATAAGAGCAGGTTGCAATGAGCTGTCCGTCAGGTGAAAGGTCCAGTCCCATGACCTTCCCCTCATGCCCCGCCAGAGTCTTCAGAGGTGACCAGCCAGGATGGGTCCACACTTTTGCTGTGTTGTCATATGCACCAGTCAGCAAATAATGGCCATCGTTAGCTAAAAAGAAAGAGACCCTGTTAATATTGACACTCCAAAAATGGGAAAGATTTTTTTTTTTTTTTCATTTTGGGGACTGAGGTTGCCGACAAGAGGGGTGAGTAAATAAAGACAATTTTTATTTGTGAGTGAATCATCCCTAAATGACTGAAAATCTCCTTTTGATTGATACTTACGTTGGAACTTGACTGAGGACAAGAGGTTCTGATGGGCAGGGATTGTGTACATACACCTTCTATGACGAAGGTCCCACACTTTACAGGTGTTATCGCCACTTCCTGTTGCCACATGAAAGCTACACAAGGAAGATTTTCAGGTTAATTATCAAATTAAGATCCAATAACAGTAAACGGCTTTAGTAAATCTTCCAAATATGTCTTTTCTTTTTCTCACCCATTTGGTGAGAAATTGAGGCTGTAGATCTCTTTGAGGTGGCCCTCCAGGAACATGATGCAGCGACCAGTCCGAAGGTCCCAGACACGAGCAAATGAATCCAAACCACTGTAGCATTGACAAATGAAATGAATACAACAATGAGCTCAAAAGCCAAATGCAACACATCCTATTAAATCAATCAAACGCAAGTTTAATCATCACAAAAGTGGACGCCTAATTGGTCTGGGCTCTAGTAAAACAAATATTGCAAGTGTGAGGAACCATGCACAGTGGATTAAAATGTTGTTGTTGTTTTTTTAATCTGGCCTTAAACCATATATGCTTGGTCTCATAAATTAATCATGAGTATCAAAGTAGTTGTAAAGAGGGTTGCACCAATTCCTATACAAAAACAGTGGAGTGCCTCAAGGTTCAGTGCGAGGCCCTTACCCAGTTCCTGCCAGAGAGCCGTCTGGGTGGAAGTGCAGGTCATGGACACCTTTACTGTGACCCTCCTGATGCAGAATTTCTTCTTGGACCTCTAGATCCCAAAGTCTCCATGAGTTATCATAGCTTTAAGAAGAAAAAAAAAAAAAGCTTATTCTGTTAAATATATAACAAAATATGTAGCCTAACAGCAATATTGACAACTCTAGTTTGCTTTTACCTAATAAAAACTATATTAAAACAGAAAAAAAGAAGAAAAATCATACCAAGTTGTGCCCAAAAATCGTCCAGAGGGATGCCAGGCCACCTGAGCCACCCTCTTAGAGTGCCCCTCAATGTCTGCTATTGGCTCATCACTACAGATTTATGTACAGGTGAATGTTACAAAGATTTACTCCAGAAACTGAGAAAGAAAATGCAAGTGATACTAACAATACACACCTGTCTAAACTCCACAGCTTAACAGATCCATCAACAGCACAGGAGGCCATATTGACATCCGACTCCTCAAGTGTGAGTGTGGCTTGAGGGTGAAAGCTAATCGCTCCCACGTTGCTACTGTGACCTGAGAAAGAAGAGTTCACCATCAATTAATCCAATAAAAATGCATTATAAGAGGGCAATAAAAAAAGACAGATTTCAAGAATAAACACTATAGAGCATATTTGTAACATTTACCTCTTAACGTGCGAATTAGCGTACAATCTGGAACTTTCCACAATTTACACAAGCCACTCCTACCAAGAAAAAAAGACAAACTCAGTACAAAAAAATGCATCTTTTAAAATCTTTGAAACATTACACACTCTAAAAAAACAATAATTTTACATTTCAAAATATTCCTTTTGTAAATAATTGATCAATTGACCAATTTTTTCTAGAACTAATCCTACAAAAGATGGTATGGCCCACAACCTGCCTGCATAATAAAATTAAAAACTGTGCAAGTGTGCCAAAGAGAATTGTTTCCGTTTTAAAAGGGGGGTCATTACATCAAATATTTATTTGATTTAGTAAATAGAAGTTAGCTGATAAGCAAAAACTCGTTTATTTTGTAGGAAGTGCCTAAACTTAGATTAAGTGCGGCAAAGGTAGGTTATTCTAAGCATCTTGGAGAAGTTTCCACAGTTCTTCTATGGATTTCTCAGTCTCTTCATGTAATTTAAGACTGACTCTATGATTAATTGGATTATATAATATTTGCGTCTAGAAGTATAAATTGATGCTTCCTAAAAACTGTTCAAATACATTTTATATAAAACATCTAAATAACCCTAAAAAAAAATATATATATATATATAATTTTTTTTTTTTTTGTGTGTGAAGAATGCTTCTATTTTTTAAAAATATATATATTATATATATATAAAAAAAATATATATATTTTTTGTGTGTGAAGAATGCTTCTATTTTTAATGCTTTTATTTAAAAAAAAAAAAAAATATATAAAAGTTAATAAAGAAAATGAACACATACCATGATGCAGTCACAAGCAGCTTAGAGTTGGGGCTAAACTGGCAGTGAGATATTGGACGGTCATCTCCAATTTGACTGCAGAAGTTATTCACATTCTGAATAAAATAAAACAAGTTTAATAATTCTACAGAAAACTACAACACATCATAAAAGCCTGTGTCTTTTCCCACTTGGTATGCGGTCGTACCCGGAGGTTCTTGTGAAGCTCTTGTTGTTTAACTGTTCTCGTAGACTCTGGAATCTCTTTTTGGGCCCTTGCAGCATCTAACCTTTGCACTGCTCTGGAGAACCAAACAAAATCAATTTAAAATACACAAATAATGACATTTGGTTGCATGTTATTTCTATTGTTAGATGTTACCGTAAAATATCATCCGTCCCGTGTTTACCTGGGCAGTGAATACTTGGCTAACCAAAGACGTGCCTCCTTCAGAGATGCAGATCCTTCATGGTACCATGTCTGCTGATACTGCACAAAACACATGTATAGATAATCACCTTCCATTTGACATTCAAATCTTTTATAGTCTATGATAACGTTTTGAAACTGGAATGCTCCTCCTACCTCATCTTGAGAGCGTTTCGATTTGTCATCCTCTTTCTTTGATTTCTTCAAGGCATCAGGACCAACTACTGAAAGAACGTTCCTCAATCTGAGGAAAATAAACAGTGGAAACACATAAAAACCTCAAACTCCAAATAAAACTGGATTTTCAGACATGCCTGTCAGTACGGATGTTAAAAGTGATTTCAAGTAGTTTCTTTTACCAAGACATTTTGGACATGGTATATGTAATGTTAAAAACATCACACAGTAGTAGTGCACTTAAGTCCAAATGTTTGAGGTCAGTATGATTTTCAAAAAAAGAAATTAATACTTTTATTCAGCAAAGATGAATGATCAAAAGTGACAGTAAAGTCGGGCTGTCAAACGATTAATCGCATCCAAAATAAAAGTTTGTGTTTACATAATATATGTGGGTGGTGCACTGTGATTTTCATGTATATACTGTATATAGATTTATATATAATTTATTTTATAATATATTATATAAATTTAAATATTTTATATATAATAATATTTTTACTTAAATATACATGCATGCATGTATTTATATATATATATACAAAATAATTCTACACAGTGCACCCACATATATTATGTAAACACAAACTTTTATTTTGGATGCGATTAATCGTTTGACAGCCCTACAGTAAAAACATTTATAATGTTACAAAAGAAATTATCATGGTTTCCACAAAAATATTAAGCAGCACAACTGTGTGAAAAAAAAGTGTGATGATGATAAAAAAAAAAAAAATCATGTTCATGCGACACTGAACGAAGACTGGAGTAATGTTGCAGAAAATTCATCACAGAAATAAATGGTATCTTAAAATATAATTTATATTCAATTGTAATCATATTTCACAATATTAATGTTTTATTTTATTTTGAGAAAATTAAACATAAGTGATATTAATGACATAATTCATTTCTACGAAGTGATACGACGTCATGCTGACGCGTGTATTTATTATAAACATGAATTGAACATTTAACAAATAGTAATACATTCAAAATATACAATATACTCGACTTTAATGCAAAAAATTTTTTTATTTTTAATTCAGCCAAGAGGTCACGCCGTGACATACTGATTTTCTACTGGTCAGTCACATCTTCAAGTGAAGCGAATCCGCAGGTCAGAGTTCACCAAACTGTAACTTTGAAGAGCAGCAAAAAGCATAGCTTTTCACATGAGCTTGTGTTTGCGGTCGGACACATTCGCATACGTATGAATGGAAGTCAATGGAACGAAAAGTGTAGTGTGACTGACCACCTTGTATTGTGTTGTATTATGCAAATGAAGTGCAAAATGGCTAATCACCATTTTTTGATTGTATGTCAGAAGATCTAATGTCTGGTCTTCCTGTCTAAGAAGGAAGTTCTTAGCAAGAATAAGCAGCAGAGCTTTATAGAAAAAAAATTCACAAACCTCTCTCGTCTGTCCGCGGGCCCCTCCCCGAACAGCGTGATTGGCTCGCCAAGAGCTCGGAGGCAGGCCTTGACCTCCACATCGTCAGTGGAGACTG